AGCCTCACAGCGAGAAAATGAATTAATTCCGATTGTAAGTTGCAATTCGGTATACAAAAAAATAAGTGAAGTATTAAAAAGAATAAAATTATTCCAAATATCGCCTGAAGCGATAAGAAAAGGACTCATTCAGGTAATAAGAAAATGGCTCGCCCAGGCGAGTTGCCTTCGGCGGACGTTTTAGAGCGACCGGTAATAGGAAATCGATTCGATGGCAATATTACCGGCAATAAATTTGTTTCCGAGGGCGACACGTTTTCTTATTGCCGGCAACACAAGTTGTTTGGTGGGAAGTTTCTTTTTTTATTATACGATACATTTACATACATATATGTATGTATGTGGAATGATACAGTGGGTTAATAAATGATAGCGACCTGTGGCTCAAAATTTGGTAAAATTTTACATTTTCATTCGTATCCTTGGAATACTTCTCGCTTGTAAAAATCCCACCTTAAAGCGTTAATAACGTAACGTTATTTTTCGATTATGGATGTGCCCCATTTATTTAATATTTAATGTCTTCAACGAACCACTTCTAAACTACTAATCAAAAGTCATACCCAACTCATTCTAACAAATTTCGATTTTAGTACACTTTTTCGAAAAATCGTATATGAAAATTTAAGCATGGTTATTGCTTAACCATTACTTCACATTACTTTAAATTGCCATTCGAATTTAGTTAACTTACCTTCATCTTCGGGTGTTGCATTCGAGGGCCCATTGTCTTTGTCGCTAATCACAAAATCCTTAATGAGTTCATTAAAGAACGCTGTTGTTGTTTCTTGTGGCTTTTTTGTTATGTCGGGAATAAGCGTCAAATCCGAGTAATCAATACGGAACTTGGATAATAAACTTGCCATTGAACGTTGCTCGAATTCCAATTCAGCTTTTTTGTTTGCCAAAGCGTATACTCTACAAAATAGTTATTAAGATTAGTCGTCTTCGAAATTAAGGCTCGACGAGGGAGTGTAAATATTGATATGTAGGATAGTTAATAGATGGACCGCGATTATGCATAAGTGTTTCGAACTACATAACAATAATCGAAAACAGGGTAGGAACAATTTCGAATACAACGATCATTCCGACTACCTGGCCACTGCAGTGTCTTTCAAGCACCATACAAGAAGCCGTTGACAGCCGAAAACTAAAATATACATACTCAGCCAGTCAGGCGGTCCTCATGGCACGTGACATACCAGGAAATGAGAAAGCAGACAAGCTCCCCACTTTCAACAGTCTGCAAGAAGATGGGTATGCCGCTCGCTTACATGGCCGAAATGGAGTATGCGGAGATCGATAGAAATTCTCACTCTCAATAAAAGCGATATGTCACGGGACATATCCTGATAGGAAGGCGTTCAGAACGCGTCGGGGCTAGTCACAACGTCTACTGCAGGAGCTGCCACGATGAAGAAGAGCCTGAATCAATAAGGCACTTACTTTGCGATTGCCCTGCACTAGGCAGGAAAAGCAGAAATTCTTAGGTATAGCTTTCTAGACGATCTAAGCGCAACTGCTAAGTTTGGAATACGACATTTGCTGAGGTTCGTAGACTCCACGAATCGGTTTAAGGAGTAGGGGTTCTAGGAACCATGTGGTATCACAATGGGCCCTGATTGGGCCTTAGTATGCTGGCGCCCTCTGGGCCTGGCAGCCACTTCAACCTAACCTAACCTAACCTATGTGCACCATCGTCTGCGCATAAAGGACAACTATGTACAACATATGTGGAAGTATCGAATTCTCCCACTAAATCTAAAGGATTTCTCTGATTTAACCCATTCGATGTTATTATTATTTCTTTCTCTATGTTCCATACCAAAATGAACTTACCTCAATTTGCACGATTGCCAAGTTCGACGCGTACTGATTATATAAGGCAGGAGCAGAGTAAGTCCTCCGTCGTCGTATAGCCACCAAACATCAATAACCGCATGACTGCGCTTTCGGGTGAATTGTGTTAATTCCATGAGGATCTCCTTTGGCAGCTCAACACCTCCAGGGCCCTTATACAGAGAAGCCGGATCATTATGCTTCTGCTTCGATTTACGCAAAGAATTCGTCTAAAATCGAAATCGATTTTAAAACAATATTGAAGCTTTTAAGTAGAGTCAAACTATGGCTTCGATGCATACATATGCACTTACCAAGAGTTGAGGCGATTTAGGGTCAACTGGATCGGGCAAGCCAGATACTTCTTTAACTTGGCTTCCAGCCATGAATGATAAGTCGCTGGTGCTAGAGGCTGTTTTATGAAATAATAAATGATTTTTTTAACAATGCAAGTATATAAATTTGTACTATTTACATTTCCACACAAGTACGTATGTATGTATACATATATGTATGTATGTATTTTACTATTCACTATTTGTTTTTATCCAACTTTAACATGCCACTTACTTTTTAACAGTTTCAGGTCATTCTCTGTGTTAGACAAGTCTCCGGCATCTATTTATTTAATGCGAGTACATGTATGTGTGTATATATGTATAGCGAGCCGCAAAATGCAGTGTATTTACATAGTCACAGAATTTTGTATGTACAACATATGTTGCCATAATCAGTATAGCCATTTTACAGTGCATCGGGGTGCATCAGGTGATAACGGATTCCGTTTGTACATATATACAACGTGGTGGTGTGTGGTTTAGAGGCATTCAATAAATTAGTGCAAGCATGCAATAAGAAAAATAATAATTATTACTACAAAATTAGCATATGTATATTTATACGTAAATGGTTTTTAAATGTACATATGTATTTAGCGTCTCATTGCAGAGAGGCGATAGCTTTGGAAAACGCTTTTTCTGGGAGTAATTTACGGGTCGATTATGAATATGTTTATTATGAATAGCAACCAAATATGCTATCAATTGAAGATAAAAGAATTTTAAAGTACCAGCAACCAAGACTTCAGTGTAGATAAGACGCAGAAACAAATTAAAAAATAAATAAAATTTCTCCATCAAAATTTCCTTGGCAACCAAAAAAATTTAGTTGCCAATGTAGGAACTCAGCTGCCAACTTTCAGTTGCCAGTTGCTATTTGGAATACCAATCCAGCCACTGTCAACACAAATGAAGTTCGGTCACCATCAGTAACCGAACCATTAATTGTAGGGCGAACGTTGAGTGGCATTCTCAATTTAACACTTTGTTTTGGGCCTGGTTCATTGGTGACGGAGTATAGGCTTTACCGTATCGGCCAAAAAATCATTAAGTGGTAGTTACTATAGGAACAGGCCCTTTTCAAGAATATGGTTGAGAAATCCTCTAAGAATATGCGATAAAGCTATAGGTAAGAAAAAAGAGAAGCTCTTGGCAGTATTTAATATATGTATAGTATAATGGCATTGAAAGCTCGACTGAGACTACAGGGGTTTTTTAACCCAGAAACTTACCAAAAGGATGGGCAAGGAAGGAAGGGCAAGACTTATTTGTATAAAAGTTTTTGTGGTATTATTGGAAATTTTTATGTTAAACTTTTAAATTTTTCAAAAGCATAAATCTTTACTGCTTTATGTTTAATCAGCTGAATTATTTGACGTGACGTTACCTGGCGTTACGTTACTAAAATTTCCATTAAAAAAGTTTTGTTAATATTGTTCTTGAAAGAATTTTTAATGGGAAGAAAACATGCATTTTATGTGGAACGTGCTTTTTATTTTGACATCAGCGATACCAGCGGTTCCATTTTTGGCAAATCTATGTCTTAGTACGTTTCAACTAAACATGCCAAGGGTGGAACAAATCAGGACATAAGTACGGGTTTTCAAAAAAATATCCCGACCCTGGTTCCACCTAACGAGACCATTTTTGGCAAAAATGTTTCTGCTTACATATGTAGCCGTATATATTGTAAAAAATAGCCAAATCGACCTATAAATAAGTTAGATATAGGACTTTTATTTTTTTTTTACGCGGTATACTTTTCGCTGGATTCGCCCATATACAGAGAATCAGTTTTCAGTATATACATATGTACATAAAATACATAGAGAATTCCGAATATCATACATATAATTTACAAGATTTCTAGATAATATCCGTTCTATATAAGTATGTACATAGGTGCATGCTCATATTCGACTTAGTAATCATAGCTTACCCTGAGAGACATTTCGGCTCAGCGAATCCATACTACCACTTAGCCCATTTTGTACACTCCTATCTGCGGACATCAAATCTGCGGAGCTCTCATTCGGCTGAAGAGTGCGTGGAATGTCAATTACATTTTTAGCGGCGCTACTTTCGTCTCCCAAAATCTGAGAGCAGTCAAGGCCATTCGGCAAGCGTAAAATAGCTACAGATAAATACATGTCCAATGCCTACGACGATTTTACAATAATATAAATTTATTTAACGTTCTCAAACGTGCTATGGATGAATCTTGACTCACTTTATGCATAATGTTAAAGTATTGATCCAGATCCTTCTTTTCGCATGTCTGCCAGTCATTTTTGTAGCCCATGAGCAAAATGTTTGGCTTCAATTTACCAATACCGGAAGCCTGCGAAGGTAACAACAATAAGTTCCGTGCATTCGACATTGAATGTAAAAGCGCAAAGAATTTTACCCACCTGCATTAGGGCTCTTGTTCCCGACTCAAAGTCCTCCCCATCGACGAGCGCGTAGAAGCCCTTAACGCCGTGTTTGCGGAACCAAGTTGTGGCGCGATCTTGCAAATAATTTCTGTAGCGTTGAGAACTAGTGCCCCGCAGCACGTGTCCGCACACCAGTAAGGAAAGATTCTTGGTCAGCATATAGGCAAAGTCAACCAGTACTGGGCGTGTATTTGGCAATCCAGATAGAACCAGTATCTTTTAAAGGGCATAGTAATTGCACATTCACAGGTTAGTGTGTCCAAGGGTAAAAAGTACCATTTAACTGGATTTACCTGTGGTCGGTAGTTCTTAACGTGTTCTTCCACATTATTCAGCTGCTGCACTGACATCAGAGCATTCTTGTACGTCTGCGCCTGCGTGGTCGAACCCCAATTGACATCGGGTTTGCGGTATGCCACAATTAAGTATAAAGCCAGAACTGCGACGAATGTGATGAGTGCCGTTGCCCACGATATAAGGAACATAACGGCGACACACAGCACCGAACCCACCAAACTAAGCCACATATTGTAATACTGTAAGCAAAGTAGTGAATTACTAAAGTAGATACGTATACATTAGTGCGGATCGGTCCCCATACAAAAAAAAAGTTTTTCCAGTCCACCCCTAGGATTAAAGATATTTTGAAGGCGATCCCAAAAAAAATTTTTTTTTTTTTGCCACGCCCCCCCGATGGGATATTTACTTTTTTTGACACTACGTCGCCATTTTAAGTCCGATTTTAA